CTAATAGTCAATAATTCTTTTTAACTTTAAACTCATTCCTCTATCTGCTCTCACTGATTGTTCCCCTGCATGATCCTCTACTTCTGCTGTCCCAGAATTCTGCCTTACTATGGGCCCACTGCTCAGGTAGAGTCATCTTAGGTCCAATGCCTCAATCTAAGTTCTAGGATGCCACAGATGCCAGCCTACTTTTCATATACTGATGGCTTTTGGTCTCCTGTTGTATTCAAATTTGATTACTGTATTTCTTCACCTACTCTGTATTCAACTGCAACTGGACTTCTCTCCTTAAATGTTCCACTGGCATCTCAAACATAACATGTTCTAAACTGAATCTATCATCTTTCCCCAACTTGTACTTCTCCTATTATCTGTGTCTCAGTTAGAGTCCTTGGCTACTCTCACTTCCTCAGCCACAATGTCCGTCTGTTTTACTTTCTGGAGGTCTCATATCCATTCACTTCTTTCTATTCTCACTACCATATTTTAGTTCAGCAGTTCATTCTTTCTCACCTGAATGAGTACAATAGCCTCCTAACTTGTTTCCTTGTCTATAAAGTTGTCCCTGTAATCCATTTTCTAACTTTCACCAGAATTGTGTCTCTAAAATGCAAATCTGATTATTTCATTAACCTGCCTAACGCCCTTCAGTGGCTCATGATTGCTCTCAAAATAAATTAACTCCCTTATTAACCCCCACTCCCCGTGAATGGTCTTGATACTTGCTCTACCTCATATTTTGACATACCACTCTGACTCTTTACTCTAGCCATATTGTACCACTTACAGTACGCTAAATGGGTCATGTTCTCTCTCATCTCCAGGCTTTGTCCTTGATATCCTCAAAGCAAGGACATCCTTTATAGCTCCTTGTATCAGGAAAAACTTATCCTTTAGGGGACAATTCAGGCATTTAGTGTGTGTGTGTGGTCTTCTCTGACACTGCAAACCTAGGTTAAGTGCCCCTCTTTGTGAGTTCCTTTAATACTTACCACACTGCGTTGCACCTTCTTCATTTTTGTTTTCCCGTCTCATCTCTTTTTTTATTGTGCATTAGATGAAGGTTTACTGAGCAAACTAGCTTCTCATTAAACAACTAATACAGATATCGTTTTGTGACATTGATTGCCAACTCCACGACATGTCAATACTCTCCCTTTCTCGACCTTAGGTTCCCCATTACCAGCTTTCCTGTCCTCTCCTGCCTTCTCATCCTTGCCCCTGGGCTGGTGTGGTCATTTAGTCTTGTTTTGCTTTATGGGCTTGTCTGATCTTTGGCTGAAGGGTGACCCTCAGGAGTGACTTCAGTATTGAGCTAAAAGGGTATCCAGGGGCCATACTCTCGGGGTTTCTCCAGTCTCTGTCAGGCCAGTAAGCCTGGTTTTTTGTTTTTTGAGTTAGCATTTTGTTCTACATTTTTCTCCAGCTCTGTCTAGGACCCTCTATTGTGAGTCCCGTCAGAGCAGTCAATGGTGGTAGCTGGGCACCATCTAGTTGTGCTGGACTCAGTTTGGTGGAGGCTGTGGGAGTTGTTGTCCATTTGTCCTTTGGATTAATCTTTCCCTTATGTCTTTGGTTTTCTTCATCCTGTCACACCTTATTCTTTACTTGCCTGTTGCCTCCACTAGACTGCTAACTCTTCAGGACAGAGACTGATTCTTAGTCAGCATCGCTGCCACTGCATCTACCACAATGCCTCGCACATGGTAGGCATTCAATAAATATTTCTGCATAAACAATTTCATGAGAGGAATAGGTACTAAATAAAGATTTCTTGACTAGTTAAACCAACCACTGCCATCGAGTTGATTCTAACTCATAGTGACCCCATAGGACAGAGTAGAACTGCCCCACGTGGTTTCCAAGGAGCAGCTGGTAGATTCGAACTGCCAACCCTTTTGGTTAGCAGCCAAATGCTTAACCACTGTGCCACCAGTTGCCAACTAGCTTCTCTTTTTTTTCTGTCCTATTGCACACCTCCTCTACTGGAATTTTTTTTTTTTTTAAGTAAGATTCTTGGTGATGGGGTTACAGGTGTATCATATTATTCTTTATGTTATTTACCATTAAATAGAATTCTCTATCAGATGACCTATTTTGTATCGTACTAGGGCAAAAATATTAAATTCATGGAATGACACTAGGTGTCTTTTGAGCATAATATTTAGGAAAAGAATTCTCTTGGGCTATGCCATGTAGTGATGGCAGGAACCCATGTGATGGGGCTCAGAGTGAACTACTCAGTGGCCCAGTGTCACAGCCTGTAACTTCCAAGTTAGAGCTAGAAGGCACGGATAATACTCTCTTCTCAGAGGCACTTGAGGGGTGAACAGGTTCAGTGACTCAGCTTACGCTACACATCAGTCTCCTTATTTCCAGTGCTATGCTCTTTCCACTATATCATAGTGACAAAAAACGAAAACACCGTCTTTGCTCTAGCAAGACTTGGCTATAAAAGTCTAGTGAACTTTTAGAGCATACATATCTCCTTAGAATGAACAGGACACAAGAGTTCTAAAATGATTATGAATTTTCCATGCCTAGAATTTGATGAAATAACACTAGTTCCTAATTCTCTTTAATTTCATTTAGTCATTAGTGCTTGAGAAGGAAGCAAAATTTGCATAATATTTGTTTCTGGCCATCTGCTCCATTCAGAACCTTGGAACTAGACAACTCTTTTTCTGGAAAGTCTGTGGACGGGGGCTGAGTACCTAGCATTTGGGAAAAGATGTAGCCAATTTCAGTCTTCCTTTCTGGAATTCCAACCTTTCAGGATCTTATTCAATGTTCACCTTGCTGATTTAGATTCTGTCGAATTCAAATACTTTATTATGTTAATTTGGCCCTCAATTGGATTTCTTAATATTCTCAGATTCATACGATGGTTAGTTGCATTCTAAAGAGAGACCACATATTATAAAATGGGGAAATACTGTTCTGCAAAATGCATGAAGAACAAATTTTTTAATCAAGCACAATTCTATATTTGTTAAGTTTGTGTTAAGACTGTCCTCAAACAACTCATTTCAAGACAGGGTGTTCTAGCTGTTGTTAGGTGCCATCGAGTCAGTTCCTACTCATAGCAACCCTATATACAACAGAGTGAAACACTGCCCTGTCCTGCACCATCCTCACAATCGTTGTTATGCTTAAGCTCATTGTTGCAGCCACTGTGTTAATCCATCTCATTGACGTTCTTCCTCTTTTTCGCTGACCCTCTACTTTACCAAACATGATGTCCTTCTCCAGGGACTGATCCCTCCTGACATGTCCAAAGTATGTGAGACATAGTCTTGCCATCCTTGCTTCTAAGTAGCATTCTAGTTCTACTTTTTCCAATACTGGTTTGTTCGTTCTTTTGGCAGTCCATGGTATGTTCAATATTCTTCGCCAACACCACAATTCAAAGGCATCAATTCTTCCTCAGTCTTCCTTATTCATTGTCCAGCTTTCACATGCATAGGAGGCGATTGAAAACAACATGCTTGGGTCAGATGCACCTTAGTGTTCAAGGTACATCTTTGCTTTTCAACACTTTAAAGACATCTTTTGCAGTAGATTTGCCCACTGCAATGTGTCTTTTGATATCTTGACTGCTGCTTCCATGGGAGTTGATTGTGGATCCAAGTAAAATGAAATCCTTGACAACTTCAATCTTCTCCCCATTTATCATGATGTTGCTTATTGGTCCAGTTGTGAGGATTTCTGTTTTCCTTATGTTGAGATGTAATCCATACTGAAGTCTGTGGTCTTTGATCTTCATCAGTAAGAGCTTTAAGTCCTCTTCAAGACAGATGCAAGTTTTAAAAATACCATTTGAGTTGCAGGAGTAGAGATGTTAGGAGAAAGTCACTAGGAAATAACATATTCAGGAAGGTGAAAATGCACAAGTAATGCAAATTTTGGCCCAGCTCCAAATCCTTAAAGCACTGACATCTTGTTCCATTTTCTGTTTTTGTCCCTTTACGTTTACTCCAATCCTACCCGTTTTGAGTCTCAGCTAACTCGACTTCATTTATAATTGTCTCGGGCTCCGTTACATTGGTGAAAAGTAAGGGTGCAGCGCTATACCAATTGGCTGAATAGGTGTGCTCCCTCCACACGTACACACTTCGCCTTGAATGAGAAGCTGCGTCCGGCACGGAGTAGGTCGGCCTAAGACCTTGTCACAATCATTTGTTTAAAAGAAAGGGTCAGGAATGGGATTATCAGATTCCTGGTGGATTATCAGATTCCTGGCTACTTCAATAACCACGTCTCCGGTGCCGAGGCCACCGTTGGGAGGGAGTTGAATGTGAGCTTACCGCTCTTTTAGGGATGAGACACCTGGGTCCTGCGCACGCGATGATGCACGTGGAAATCCTCTGTATACCGGCACACGCTCTGCAAACCAAAGGTGATCAGGGCCTCATCTTCTCCGGCCGATTTTTTTTTTACATAAGCCGGACCCGCACGGCACACTGAGCGCGCTGGCCCAGCTGGGCTCGGTGTCCCCGAAGCAGCCGGAGGCACCGGTGGCGAAGTCCGGGGGGGCCCCCTGCTTGGCGCCCGCCCAGGCCGTGGGGCTGCGGGTTTGGCGGCGGAGGCGCGGGGCGGGGCTTGGCTGCGGGGAAATGACGTTGCGGTCCCCGCGCACTCCGCGGGCCGCGCGCCCTGGTAACGGCGGCTTCGTGGCTCCGGCGTCCTTATCCATGTACCCGCCTCCTGTCGCTGCAGCCCGCCGGGTCTCCTCCTCCCTGTGCAGCCCCGGCGGCGGCCGTCTCGCGGGGTCCTTGCTGCCGGCTGCGAGCGGGACCCGCGCAGCAACGCTACCCACGACACCCCCGTCAGGCGCGGGCTAACCAGCGGGCGAGAGCGGCCTGGTCCGGGCCGCCGCCGCTGGACCCCGGGCGT